GTTTCATGTGACTTATGTAGCATTAAAAGAATCACAAGATGACATGGTGATATAACGCTCTATAATCTCTCAATATGAAGTATTCTAGATTGAAATTTGTGCCTACCAGCCAATCACAAAGACTGTTATGGTTGTGTTTAGCTAAGGTATTTAGCTTCCTTTGACAACTTTGTAATTGCACATGTAATTCATCAAGCTCTAGGTTAATTAGACTAGGATAGTCTAGTTGAAGAAGATTAATGTGGATGAGATCAACTTGGGCACGATGCAATCAAGATCTTTAAAGGTAAATCATGCATTGCATATATATTAGGACATGTCGAGTCAACGTGATGACCATTCATCTGTTACTGCTAGCTCAGTGCCAGCTCATTTAAATTCTTACGTGGGACTCACACTTGGCCAACTGTAGATTTTTTTGTCCTAATGATTTTTGTCCTATTATAGCTTCAATTACTAGCCGCCATGTGGATTGTTTTATGACCTAGTTATTTTGGGTAAAAAGTGAGTCTTTGCTCTTGTAGCCGTCACTTTTATAGAGAGTTTTGGTTTTGCTCTACATCTTCTTCTTTGAGCAAAGTCTCCATTTTTCATTAGGCCATCCCAATGGGGGCTCTATTTGGGGCTCAACCACCACCGAGCTCTTATATATGCAGCCCAATGCCAAAAAGGCATCCCCAATTGGAGAGATTTTGGGCTCTAAATGCTAAAGACTCGTTAGAGCCGTCCTCAAATGTGTGGATGCGGATGCAGCCCCTTGAGCCCAAGTGGTCCCCACAGGAATCACTTTTTTCTCTCCTCAATTGCCCAAGACACACAATTGCCAACATACTCTCTTAATAAGAGCACTTCCAGCAGTGAACCCTTTGCCATGGTAAGGGGGGGCTAGGGCAGCTACTATTCACGTGAAATAGTGGCTGCCCTTGCAAAAAGCAATGTGTGTTTCTAGCAGTTGTCATGGCAAAGCGCAATTACTATTCATTTTTTGTTTTTTTCACAAATTTTTTTACCTAAACAATTAATTTGGATAATATTTTCGGATAAGATTTTTGGGTAAAAAGTGAAAGAAAAAAAACTTGAAAGTGAAAAAAATATTGAGTAGAAAGTTAATAATAGTTGAAGGAGAAGAAAATGTATGAGGATTTGGTGTTAAAAGTGAAGAGTATTGGTTGGTATTTATAGGAAAAAATTAATTATTTTTTGGGTATTTTTTAAAAAAAAATTTGAATTTTTTTCATTATTTTATTACCAAAAAAAAAAATTTCGAGGGCTGACGTCATCCCAAAACTGAGGCTGGACCTCAGGCTAACCTTGCCCTCGAGCCAGCCCAGGCTCGTGGCCCCCACCTCCTGCCCAGGCCAGCCTTTGCTGCTGGAAACCCTTTTTTGGCCCAAACCCAGCTACTAGAACTGCTCTAAATCGCATGCACGGGGCCCGTCAGCACATAAAAAAACTTGATTTTTGTACTCTCCTCTTTTTCTACCGTTTCTTTTTGTTTTCAAATGAAAGTCTTCTTTTTTATAGAAATAAATAGCTAGTTTTCTTCTTTACTCTAATCACTATCTTGTCCAAATTTTGATTTTTTCGGGTTGAAATGTTCAACAACAAAAAAAAACTAACATAACATAAACATGCATTAAAAAATAATAAGTTAACAAAAATAAAAAATAAAAAATAAATCAAATTACATCATAAATTGTGAAACCCCATATTTTTAATATTTCATAAATTAAATAATTACAATTATTAATCTCCAAAAATTATATAATTAATAATATATATATATATATATATATATATATATATCAATTGTATAATAAGTTACGTAAGGATAGCTATTAACTAATAGCCATTCAAATGTTATTGCATGGTTTTATTCATTCCAGCACTATTCATCATTATTATTATATATACTTACTTTACAAAAACTATTAGAAAAACTTATATGCATACTAAGCATTTTTTGCAAACTAACGTGTTGCTTGGTGGTGTCCTCAAAATCCATTAAGGCTTGAGGTGTAATAATAGTAGATTTCCTACATATAAAAACTTGTTAGGAGAGTGCTCACAAAGCACTCTACCAAGCCAACGCAAAAGGCTTTGGGAGTCTAGGAACTTGTAGAATTATTATGTGGCACAATGTTAAAGCTTCAACCAAATCTTCTTTACCGACTCTAACTACTATAAATAGTCCTACATAATAGCTTTGGATCATAAGTTCTTCAAAGTTATAGTAGTCTCCTACAAAAAAAA